ACGTGAAAAGACCCAGGAAAACCGAGTTAACGATAAAAACGATAACAAAATAACGCTGAAAACCGATAAAAACCCTGAAAACCATACATTTCACACCTGAGCCTCAACTCTCGCGGCCCGGTACCAAACGACTACGGACCGGTAGCGGTATTACCGTGAACGGTATAATATGGCCCAGCCCTATCGGTGCTGACCAGAAACAGCTTTTGAATGAAAGTCTTCTGTAGAACAAACACACGTGACTATTCTTTGTGCCCATATGGATCCCTCATATCACCATTATGCCACCCAGCACAGGGACAAACCCTGCAGGTATGACAGCAGCAGGTGTATCACTTTCCACCTGGAGACAGTGTTTACACTGCAATCTGCCTCTGGTGGCTCTGGTGCAGCAACTGTGACATTCACTAGTAGAACTGACACACAAAACAACGACAACACCACACACTAACTACACAAGACAACACACTAACTTGACTGCAAACACGGTACACGTCACAAACCTCTCACCTGTGAAAACTCCCTTCCTCCCTTTCTTTCTTTCACTTGCTCACTCCTACAACTTCCCCTTTTTCCTAAACAACCGAATGTCACGTTTCCATATTTTTGATTGTTTGACACAAACAGGTGTTTTTTTCCTTTTTGCTCACAAGCGGAGTGTTTGCTAGCGCTGTCCTTCTTCTCTCCCCGTAGTAAAGGCCTCTGTTTTATTTAGGAAAAATAAATCACGTGTACTTTTGATCATGACTCTGGTTTTACGTGACCTATCAACACAATTTAAAAACTGGTGTATAGTTTGAAGTCAGTGCTTTGGACCAAAGTTGAAATGGAGACTCTGGGTCTGTCACAATGCTACGTATCAGGCTAATGTTTAAAGCTTTCACTTGAGTAAAGGAACTCATATTACTAAGTAATGTTAGCTAAGTTCACAGCATGCTCCATAAATCTCCATGCCATAACTAACCGCTATAATAGCTGCCGTATTGCATCACACTCAGTGCATTTCAATCACACAAACAGCTGTGCAGCTTTTATTCTCACACAGCTGCAAACAGCTGGACACTTGCAGTTTACACAGCTGGGATTCGTGGTGTGGACAAACAGCTGATACACTCACCTCTGACACTGAATATCACTGATTGCCTTAGCAGGATGTCTCCATCCTTGTTATAGGCGGTGCAGGTGTAGATTCCACTGTCAGTGAGGTGGAGGTCTTCCAGGTTCAGACTGAGGTCTTTCTCATTTCCCTGATGGCGTGTTATTTCCTTTATGGACTTGTATTTGGGGTGTATATGTTTCCACTCCACTTTGGAAATCTGATCAAGTTTATCTGTTTTTTGAAATTCTAGCAAATAAGACTTGTTTCCATACACTGTCCCCAACCTCCTCACAGTGTCTGAAAAGAGAAAAGAGACAGACAGACACCAGTGAGAGTCCACTCCAGAGTGACAAACTGGACCAAGGTCAGCTTTGGTCTTAAAGGCAGCAGCACAGACTCCTCCCCCTGTGGCACGTCCACCATGTGAGGCAGACTCTCTAAAAAGAGATCAGACAGATGTGAGTGGGTGATCATGGCCTCTGCACAAACAGCTGTGCAGCTTTTATTCTCACACAGCTGGACACACTCACAGCTGACTGTTTCCATCAAACAGAGAACACAGAGACGATCCTTTGTGTACAGTCTGATGAGTTGGGATGGTACTGGAGTAATATTTAGAGTATTTATAAGCTCTGATGTTATCAGTACTGGTGAAACTAAGCAGCTGTCAGTGTGTCAGCTATGCTGGCAGCCTGGAGTCACCTGAAGCTTCACTGTGGGCTGATGCTGACTGTCACTGTTATATGTGTGTCATTAACCTCAGAGAAACCAACTGCTGTTCAGAAGACTTCAGATGTGATCAGAGGTTTGGAGGCTGGACTTGCAGCACAGGAAGTGATGTCAGAACAAAAAAAGACTTTAGTCCTGAGTGAGCGACAGGTTTATCGGACGCTGGCGTGGATCTCCTTCAGACCTGGATCACAGTCTTCACACTGAACCCTTTAAACATCTTTACTCTGTTTGTGCTTCTCCATCATCAGGAAGTCTGTATTTATCCCAACATCGTTATTTATTAACCTTTCACTCATTTTAATTTTAAAACAGTGTGTATTTGTTAGCTCATGCTTGCTGCCTGTTCATGCCCTGTCCATATCTTCAACGTCATCCTGCTCTGTTGTAGGTAGAGCTGGGCGATATAAGATTTTTTAATATCACGATATGTTTTTTTCATTTCAGGCGATAACGATATCTATCACGATATAAGCCAAATAACTATATTTGTAAGATTTAAATGTGCCGTTGCTCACAAGTAAAATGTGAAATAATCAGCAGCTTGTTTTGATTTAAATATTTATTTCCCATAATAAGTTCAACAG